CATAATAAATAAAAATTCCTCACCTTACATGATCTTCTCTCCAACAAGTCATAGAATTTTACTGACCTTGTATCTTTTTAATATCTCAAATCCGATAGAGTGCCATTTATTACATTATAAATGATTTATTTTCTGAATGATTATAAGAAAGCTTCTTACAAATGTAAGTAAATGAGGTCCTCATTAATATCAGCCTAATGAATCTTCTAATGATACTTTCATTTCTTCCGCAGACTCAAGGTATAATGCCCATACCTCTAATAATTAGTAGTCCCAAGATTAGCAGAATCACTAGAGAGTGGCTCCTGGTTTATTATTGGCAGGAATTATATGTATTTTTCAAGCAAGTCAGGTCACTGGAAAGTACAATAACCTGGCTTGTGGAAAATTTGAAATAGGTTGCAGTTCTTCTGCCACATATGACATTTCAGTCTGTAAATATCACATGACATTCAGAAAATATGGGTAGCACTCACCTCATTGAGGAATGCATTACTGAGTATGAAATGCCAATAACTATATCCCAAGAGAATGTTTAAACAATTTCAGACAACATCACAGGGAAGAAATGCCAAGATTTGTGGAACGTGTTTGTCCATTTATCTTTGCCTGTGTTCAGGGCCCTGGAAAGGTATTAAGCAGAACTTCTCCAGAGGCAGAGATCCCTATTTGGACCTATTATGCTAAAAGAATATTTTAAGTCAACCAAAAAAATATAATACTTGTTCTTTTACACAATGATGTTTATTCTTAAAGGGACATATGATTTGGAGCTTTTTTCTAGTGCTGGTAATGAACTTGCACTTATTCATATATATTCATAATTAGTTAAATGAGCCTTACTTTTTAAAATCATTATATTTTGGTAACCAATGAAACTTTCATATAGAAAGTTGGAAAAACTTTAAAAATTAAGCTTAAAAAAGAAAACTAAAATCATCCATGAAATTTTCACGCAGATATTTATTATTAATATTTTTAATATTCTCATCTTTTTGTCAAGCTTATGGAAAAATATGCACATTTTTAAATGGTATTATACTGCATATATTTTTCATTATATTTTCATGTCAGTAAATATTCTTTTAATATTTTCAGACTGCATGTATTCTATTATATGGTCATAGCTTATTTAACTTTAATTTTAGACATTTATGTTATTTGCAATTACATATATCTTCACATATATCTCTGATTATCTTTTTAGGATAAATTCCCAGAAGTAGATCATTAGATCAAGGAATAATCAAATTTTAAAGATTTAAAAATACATGTTGCTATATATTGCCATAATGTATGAAGGGACACATTTCCCAGGAGCTTCACTAACACTGCCAACGTCTCTCTTAATGTGGCCAACTCTTCCTAAAATAATCAAATGAAAGTTATATTTGGATATGCTTTACTGTTGTTAGGCCTTAGTCACATCTCAGGATGTCATGTGGTTAGTCTCTTAGCAATTTCTCTTCCAATTTCTTCCTAAACTTCATGCAAGAGTAGTGAATAAAAAGATCCATTCCTTTCCATTAATGTATAAAAATGTTCTTCCTAACAGTTTCACATATTAATACAAGTATATAATTTTTCTTTTGGGCTGTACAGATGTAACTAATGTTTGTTCTCCTATTCCTGAAGGAGTCTGAACAAAAATAATACATCCTTCTTTTTTATTACCTTCAGATTTGTTTTTCTCTCACCCTTTTGACAGAGGAAACAAATTTTAAAAACCTGGACTTACATAAATGGTATTTTTGAGTTAAATCTATTGCTACCAATATAAATTATTTCAGAGCACAGCAAGAAATAAAATGGGCTCAATAGTATGATTTTTCTCATTATTATCATCACGATCAATCCATTTTTATTAGTGACCCAATATGTACAGAGCATGGTGCTAAATCCTAAGAATTAAAAAAAAAAAGATAGAACAACTCTTCAGTTGATTTATTCACTAGTTGAAGAATGATGGCACATATATAAAAAATGATAAATTCTAATAAACACTAGCATATCTTAATTGCCCAATGGAGTCAGCCAGTCAATGCCCTTGGAGTTCAGAGAAGTGATTAGTAAAGATTGGGATAGTCACCTTTAAGAGGATTTGATCCACAGGTGCCTGGGTGGTGCAGTTGGTTGAGCAACTGCCTTCGGCTCAGGTCATGATCCCGGAGTTCTGGGATCAAGTCCCGCATCGGGCTCCCCGCTCAGCGGGGAATCTGCTTCTCCCTCTGACCCTCTTCCCTCTCGTGCTGTCTCTCTCTCTCTCTCAAATAAATAAATAAAATCTTTAAAAAACAAAAGAGGATTTGATCCACATTTTGAAGTAAGACTGGAAATTTAACAAGAAAAGAGAAGTTCTTCCAAGTGGGGGTAACAGAGCTCACAAAGGTGAGAATGCACATGACATTTTCAGAAGAAAATAACCAGGAAGCCAAAGCAGTTTATTCAGTATTACAGTAAGAGAAAAATCTGGTGTTCATCTAGCCTTGGCTATCTAGATAAACAGTATGGGCCTAAGAGAGGTACATTGGAAATAGAAAACCATTTAATGTTTTATGAGAAATGAATTTAGAAATAATTTAGGGAAATTTATAAAGTATTACTATGAAAAATGTTAGTACCAGCATGAGATAATTATGGCCTAGACTAGCTAGTTGCAGAAGAAACTAAAAACAGGCATAATGCTAGCGTACCATTAGGATGAAAAAAGCCAACTGAACTTGGCAACTGATTAGATATAAAGATAAGAGACCACTAAGAATTTATTATTCAGCTGTGCTTGTATCAGGGATTCATAATAAATGAGCCTGCCTTCAACCAAGTACATAATATAGAATCCCACTGAGAAGGCTGTGATAAATTCTACAGGGGGCTACCAAGTAGCTGGAACAGCTTCCCAAGTAAATTGGTCCTTGAGTTTTGACTTCAAAGATGAATTGAATTTTGCCAGATGGGAAAGGGGGGGAAAGATCAATGAAGAGGGCAAAAGAGGGGGAAAATATGACTCAAAATTTTAGACCTACATTATTGGAGAAATATAATAACACAGACCAAAAGAGGAAAGTCTAGCAGTAGAGATGTTTTAGGTGGAAAGATAATTCAGTTTAGACATTCTGCAAACATATGTGTAGAGCATATTCACCAATCTGGAGGCATCTGGGACACATCCATGAACAAAACAGCCAAAAATTTTCTGCTTTCATGGAGTTTACATTCTAGTATTTGGAAATAAATACATAATTAGAGGTATAGTGTTCACCAAAGAGTTTTGTTTTATTGTGATGTTTGTTTCTATTTTCTTTCTCTATTGTCATTCATATCAATAAGATAAAATAAGCACAAAAGAAAACATGGGTGACTAGTATCCGATTTAAGTCATCACTTAGGCAGGAAAATGTTCCGAGTAACTCTTCCCTCTAAGACTTGAAACTGTCCTCAAACTGACCTTGATGTCTACAGGCTTCAGATAAATGGCTTAGTAATTGAGAGCAATGAATTAGAATCAATCACATTTAGTTAGGAGAAAGTAGTCTCTGTGCTAAAACAAGTTGACCTTCTTCTAGCTTTGCATTTTTATTGCACCCTTTCTGCTCTCCACCTGTGCTTGATGCTATGCTGGGATCTTCTGATTTTAGCAGTACTTCAGGAGATGTGTCTGGACTATAGTTTTCTTACCAGGTCTTACTGCTAGATTGTTCAAAGGGAGAAAATTATTGGAAAAGTATTCACTGGTCAGAAATAAGGGTTTTGAGTGACTAACCAAGGAAGTGAAATTTTTGTTGCAATTAAAACGCTCAGTTTAATTTAAAAAAATATATAAAACATTACATTTAAGCATTACATTTCAAACTGCTATCAAAGACAGTTGAGAGATACTGAGTAATACCAGTTTTCTTTTTCACTGTAACTGCATAAAATTCATTTCACCCTTCAGTAACCTGATATGCTGAAGAGACTGGACATTAAAGACTTTAAAGTTTCCTGACCTCCTTAGTATTAAGAGCCAGTCTTCAGAGCTCTCACCTGATTGGTTGAAAGCATTCAGTTTGTTTCCATGCAAAAGGATTTTTGACTTTTGTTTGTTTATTTATTTCCTTATTTTTTAATCAGTTTCAGTTACTATAAGTAGTTCCTTCAAGTTTTAAATTATGCATATCAACATTTTCTGAAAACTTGTTTATTTAAAATTAATTGTTCTTAAAAAAGCCCCAGTTATATCTAATAATGTCGAAGCAGTATGTCAAAAGCATGTCAAAATGGTGTGGTGCCGAAAGTTATCTCTAGGCACTTCCCAGGAGTTTGGAGATAATTGAATCTAATTCTTCTGGTGGAACAAGATGATGGCAGCCTGAAGAGCCCATTTGAGGATTAATTGTTTTGGGGATAGATATTCAAATGCTAAATACTTTCATAAATTTAGTTCAGTAACAAACATTTATTAAGTGTCTAATGGGTGCTAAATCTTAAAACAGACATATGCAATCCAAAAATGAATAAGGCACAATTACCCTCAAGACCTTCATATCCTGGTAAGATTTAGTTTTATTAAATTATTTTTTTGTTAGATTTCTGGTTTTTCATTATGATCTGTCCAAAACTCCTTTAAATATATTATATCCTACTTTTAATCATATAAACCATCAGGTCTCTAGCTGGTAATAATTTACTTAACAAATGCATGGCTAAATAATAAGCCAAGATTTCCATACACTTTAGAAAAGATTTTAGATATCCTACAATACTTTATCGACAAGCTGGTAATTTCTGACTTAAACCCAAGTTTCCAAAATCAAGTTGAAAAGACTTTTTATTGCAGTCCACATGAGAGTACAGAATGTGGAAAAATAATAATTTGGTGCTAATAATCATCTTAATTGATTGTGAGATTATGATTTTATCTTCTGTGCTGGGGGTGGAATTCATTCTCTCTTCTCCCTGACATTTCTCATGGATTACTCCATACCATTAATCGCTTAATAGATATAATTATTTTGTATTAGTTTTCCAGATCAAGAAATTCGTAAAGTGGCAGTTCAACAATTAGACAACCTCTTGAATGATGAACTACTGGAATATCTCCCACAGCTAGTTCAGGTAAGAACAGCAGAGTTTCCAAAGGATTCTAGAATTTTAACTAATAATCCTTTAAAAAGAGTTTCCAATAAGTCAACAGTAGGCTACCTAAAGTGGTACTGTAATTTGGCAAGCCAGGGACTAAATTATAGCTCATGTGTCAACATGGGTAACATAGACATTCTTTAGCCCAAACTGGTAGTTACAAAAAAGGTCTATAGGAGCCAAAGGGGACATTTTTTTAAATTATTATTATTTAGAATTGGGGGAAAAAATAGAAATGCTGGTGATAAAATCTTTTCACCTAACTATGTAGAACAATTAAAATTAAATTAATGTTATTTAGAAAATAGTCTTTTGCTAGGCAGCTCCTCATAATATGCCTTAGAACATTCTAACATTGATTATAAATCTATAAAAGAGGTTTTGTAAGATAATACCTGAATCCTGCCAACAGATACTGCATTTTAGCCACAACATTAAATATCACAATGTTGGAGTAGTTTTAGAAAATAATGTGGCCAAATAAATGAAATATAGGTATATGAGCAAAGACTGATTTAGTCTGAATATTTTGAAACATAAACAATCATACATCTTGCAAATGACCATGTAAATGATTGAATATCCAAACTACAAATAATATTGTTTTCCCAAATTGACTATGTAATGAGGACTGAATAGGTAGTTCTAATAGAGTGGTCTTTATGTTTTTTGTTTTTTGTTTTGTTTTTTAACTCCGATGTTTTCTTACCTGAAAGGTCAGGTTGTAATTACAAGCTATTTTAAATGCCAGGTGCCTCAGGTTTTGAACATTTAAGACAGAGAACATTTTTTAAAAAGTTTTTATTTGTTTGAGAGAGAGAGAAAGAGCACAAGAGGGGTGGAGGGGGAAGGGGCAGAGGGAGAAGCAGACTCCCCACTAAGCACAGAGCCTGATGTGGGGCTCGGATCATGACATGAGCTGAAGTCAGACACTTAACCTCTTAACCAACTGAGCTACCCAAGTGCCCCTAGGACAGAGAACTTTGAGGCTAATGGGGGAAACCCCTATCAGTGACTGGAATACCATATTGCTTTGCACATGGAATATGCACTTCTCCGAAGGACTCCTAAAGCGAAAGCTTGTTCAGAAATAGCTATACCATATAGTTACTCTTACCAGTTTTTATAGTTGTGATTTTTCTATACTTATCAGGATAGTGTAGTGAAAATAAAAATTAATCAGACTTGTAGGAACACTGTTCATCTCATGATTCATGAGTATTGGCAGCATGCTCTAGCTAACCTAAATCAAAAAAGTAAGTTTTTACAAAATTTTATATATACTAAGCTCATTTGAAAACGGCAGTCTGGAATAAATAAGCAATATACTTGGCACCAGGAAAATTGCTGAGAGCCATATATCTGCAAATCCAAATTCATATGACAAGGTGTACACAAAATCCAACAAAGCAAATACACAGAAGTAAAATTAGGAAGTGTTGCAACGACTCCCTAATTAAAAATGAAGATTATAAAATGTTTTGAGATGGAGAGAAATGACTCAAAAATAAATAAAACTGAGAAGAATTTTCAAAACATTTATTATAGAATTTTCCCTTAAACTTCTATGTTCTCCCCGACTTTAAAACTTTAAACACATAAAAACTTTTGAAATGCAAAAAATTCTACCCTATTGATTATTTTCTTGAAGTATGTTATTTTGTTATGTATTATATTATTAGAATTATGCAGGATGTATTAAAGAAATAAGACAGGACTCTAAGACCATAACAAAAACAGAACATATTGTTCATAGCCAGAAAGCAATTAAGACACAGACCCAGAGGTTACGGCAAACCACAAGTCAACACCGTGTGGGTGGGTTCCAAGAACAGTTCATAATAATGCAGTGTGCACCAGAAATATTGCCTGCCTCCCAGATGGTGAGGTAGGACTTAGGGGGAAATGATGCCAGTGCACAGAGTGATGTAGGGAGTTTGGAAACAAGTGAAGCAATTTAAGAGCAACAAGTAGTTAATCAAGAAGAAATAATGGGGAAATCTAAAAGGAAAGCTAAAAAGACAAGCATGGAAGTAAATTCTAAGACATCTCTCTCTGGCTTATGTGCTCATATGATATGCTATTAGGGCATCAACCCAACTTAGGACCTGGTCAGCCCAGTATTAGCAAGTAAGTGAAAGCAAGCCATGGCTGCAACTTAAGAGAACATACATTATGGTCTTTATACATTCAGACAGCATTAAGAGTTTATGCAAATTTGCTGAAATCATCTTTGGCACTCTTATACCTTAGGAATTCATAAACTTTCCCATCCTTGAGTATGGTCAGCATATTGAAGTATTTCTTCAGGTGTGTATGTGAATGCGTGTTGTGCCCACTTTTGTCTGTTGTCCGTACTGTGGTATAAAACCTGGCTTAAACTCCGTGTGTGTGCGTGCGTGTGTGTGTATGTGTGTGACTTAAATGGCTATTGAGCAACTAAAAATAGAAGTTTTGCCTCTTAAACAGGGATGGAAATTTTTATGAAGAGAGCCTGGTTTTCATTTTCATATATATTTAGATTTCTGGGATGATGATGGGGCCCAGGTACTTCCTGTGAACAGTGAAGCCCCTGCAGAGTACCTAATCTGAATTAGGTCCATGAGGATATCAGGAGCTGCCATTACTGTCTGTATGTTCCACCAGGTTAGGTATCCTAGAAAATCCTAAAGAGCTGTTCAGAGACAATGAGGGAAAGGATTTGGGGAGGGGTGAGCTAGGCTGGCACCAATCAGCTCTGAAACCTCTAAGTAAAGTTTCAGGTTCTGCACGGTAATAGTGATGTATCAGTTGGTGATTTCAGTTAAGGCTTTGAATGTGCATTAATTTCATTCCACAAAGAAAAGAAGTATCTACTCTTTAATAATTCCATTTTTATATCTAGGACACTAATCATACTATGTATTTTTGTGTGTGCCAGGATTCTCCTCCTAGGCATGGTTGAACTCCACCAACCATCTGCCCTTATTTATTATCCTGTGATACTAAAGCATAAATAAGAAAGAGACTACACAAATCCAAATTGTGATGTGTGTGCTATGTTATTATACACCAGCTAATAAGGTTATCTTATAATAATATATCAAATATAATCAAATATCAAATACAATTTTAACATTTTGTTAAAATGTTTATGCTGTTTTCCTTTGTCTTTTCACAAGCCTCTTAAGTCCCTTTGTATTTTGCTAGAATTTTGTTACTGAGAAGAACAGTAAATTAATTATATCTCTTACTTCAGGCTGTCAAGTTTGAATGGAACCTTGAAAGTCCTCTGGTACAATTCCTATTGCACCGTTCATTGCAAAGCATCCAGATAGCCCATCGTCTTTACTGGTAAGATTAACTAAAATAAGATAGGATGTCTTTTTTTGTTGTCAACTTCTCTCTGTGGGACAGCATTAGAAGAAGTAGAAGATTTCTTACCTTGTAATTGATATAAACCTCCAATTAAAGTTCCAAAATCAAGTCTTTGTCAAGGTTATTTTTATTGATGAGTATAATTTAACTGTCATCATCTTCAAAATCTTCCTTTTGTACAGTGGCAGCTGTTTAAATCTAATCAGAATTTTAAATTTGGATGATATCTTTCCTATAGCTTTATTATTTTTTTTAAGAGAGAGGGAGCGAGTGCATGCACTCACATATGTATGGCAGACAACATCTACTAGCTTTAATTGCTAGGGAAGAACTTTAATTAATAGGGAAAAAGAGAATCTCATTTTTTAGTATGTTTTTCTGCTTAAAGAAATGTAACTCATGTTGACATCACTCTTCCCATGAAAATAACTCAAGCGTTTCATAACAAAGTAGAGATACAAGGAATTGTTAGCCACCAATGTTTATTTTGATGTTCATTTTCTTCTCAAATGTCTAATATAAAAAGCAGAACATTTTCCTCTTCTATGTCAGTATAGGGAGGCATCACACACATGACTAGCCCTGGGCCCTTCACTCAATGGACTCTTTCACCAAGCTTTGAATGAAGTCTTATTCTCCCCAGTTTTTCAATCAGCTACTACCTTGCTAAGGGAACTTAAGTGGATACATTTTGTGGTCTTTTGCTCTCACAGTAAAACTAGGACTAAATTACCAGGGCCCAGCTGTGCACATGCAGACTTGTGACAGAAGGGGGCAGAAGAGGGCTGCTTGAACTGTCAAACTTGATGCCAAACCAGAGATGGCAAGGCTAAAGCAATTTCAGGAGATTGACCCAATCAGGTATTAGGCAATTGATATCACTGGTGAAATCAAAACTGGATTGGAGAGAGAATATGAGAAGTCAGGGACTAACCTAAATCAGGAATTAGGGCCCCAAAGAACAAGTTGTTGTGGCAGTGTCTGCTGGTCCTGAATGACTTAAGGCAATGGTATTTCGGACACCACAAGGCCTTTCCGAGGTGGCAATGGCATTAAAGGACCAAATCCTATGAGCTTTAAGATACCACTCATAAAATTGAGATGATGCAAAATCTTCCCATTCATTTTCTGAACGCTCTGTCCTAAACTTTTCTCATCTAGAATTTTGGGGCAATTTCTCAAATCAAGGACTACTGTAAATAAAGCAACATAATGTGGAAATTTTGCGTCTTGTGATTGAAGTCACACCTGTCCCTCTCATCCTTTCTTTCTTTTTTTTTTTGAAAGAGAACTTTTTATTACTTTTATGTACAGAAAATTCAACAGTGTCCACTCAGCCTAGTTTGGTGGCACTTTAGTTTTTGCCTTTTCCAGTTTGGCCACACAAGCCATCGACTTTGGATGCAGGACGTTGCTTCCCTAGCGGCAGGGGATCTCATCGTATCTCACTGTAATTGGTCCTAATGGCTGCCACCAGCTTAGCCAGAGCTGCTTTGTCTTCCCAGTTAACCTGTGTGAAGACGACAGTGGTGCAGGTCTCCCTGTGGACCAGACCCCAGGCTGGCCTCCCTCTCATCCTTTCTCCTAAATATGGCTTACCTGATGCCTAAAATTCTATAATCAGTGAGTCACTACTTTAGGTTAAGCATTGTTCCCTCCCAGAATTTTTTTTCTAATGTGGAAATAGATATATTCAGAACATAATGCTCATGATGAATTAGATGATCATTTGTTCATTTATGTGACAAACCTTGAGATACTAGACACTGTTGAACTATTAAGGATAAAGCAGAATAGCCCTTTGCCTAAACAAGCTCACAAGCTAACAACAGCTAACAGCCAGGCAGCAGGGAAGATCCACTGGCTAAGTGAAGGAGAAAACTGACCACAAATCCTGTCCACTTTATGGTGATCCATCCCAAATACAACCACAAGATAGAGAGGCAAGGCTGGCCATCAAATAAATAAAAAAGCCTAAACATGCACTCCAATTCTGCCAGAGTTACATACCAATGAAGGCATACAAATGAATACACAGAGGAGGTCAATCCTTTCTCTACTTTGAGATCTGAAATATTCCCTGAAGAAAGAGTAAAGAGCTGTACTTCAGCAAGTTATCACAGTGTAATAGAGCATGCATGATACAGAATCAATAGAAGGTTTTAAAGCCTCTCCTTTACCTTCTAGAATCATTATATTACTACTAACTCACCTTTTACCTTCACAATGTAATGAATAATAAATTATTGCTTCACTCTTTTGTAAAGGAAAGATATGTCTTGCTGTCATTTAATATTGATCTCTTATAATCATCTTTCACCTTATTGTTCTCAGAAAAGTACACAGGATAAAGACTCTGCAATAGCAATTTGCTAAGCTAACAATAGCTATTCTCTACCTCAACCAACCTGAAAAAAAGTCATGGATATTTTTAAGAAAGTTTACATTTTATGCAATAATCTGTAAAATTCATTAGCATAGTTTTCTAGTTAAGGCACAATATAGGAACAGCTGGGGGTTTTTTTGTTTGTTTTATTTCTATTTTATGTGATAAGGGTTGTATATAGTTCTTTTCATAAAAAGACTTTTAAAAACAGAATGCAATTTTAAACTAATTTTCTTATATCATTTGTGTTATTTCTTTTATTAAATACATGAAAATAGAATCTTACAATCTTATACAAAGTTCTACCTCAAATCAATGCAAAAGCCAGGAACAAATCTCCACCTTAAATTTATCCCCAATTTAAATTATGTCCTCTTCAAATTCTTCTATTTTGTTAAAAAAAAAAAAGTAAAGAGTTAAAAAAAGTACACATTTTGTGCATACATACTGACCTCAAATGTTGGAACTTGCACCAGATCTGGCCTTTGGGAACTGAACTTTCTAATCCACTCTCCAGCAATTTTTCATTACAATAGCCACATGCAATTAGATCACTGCTTGCTTAGATGGTAATCTGGTATTCCTATAATAGTATCAGTCTTCCTCCGTCATAGTTTATGCTGGGGATTTGGGGTAAGTCCTTGAAAAACAGCATTATACTGCTTAATTTTCATTGTTTCTCAATCATACTACAGCTTTACTTAGGCCAACAAAATATATGGTCAACAAAAAGGAAATCTATTTTTCCTTAATATGACCTTAATATTAGTAATTATCTTTGTCTTCTAATAATATTTGAATTTGGCCTCCAAAATAAATAGACTAATAAATACTCATAGAGTTATAGGATTTGGGAGTCAAATGGAACCTTACAAATGCTATAGCATTTTTTTTCTCACCCAGAAAGGGATTTCAACAAATTAAGTGACTCATCCAATGACAATCATCTAGCTAGCTAAAGAATTGAGATTAAAATATTTTTTTCATGGCATCTCATGCCCACTTCAGGTCTCTTTCCGATTCACCATCTACTTCTAAGAAAAGTACAACTTGAAGAATTCACAAAATGTTTGTTTTTCTATCAGTAATCAGGAACTCATTCAAGTAAACTAAAGTGGTGGCTTTTCCTTAACTTGAATGCAAAACTGAAGAAAAAACAATATCCCAAATTGAGATCTTTATATCTAATACTCAAAGTTTTCGCCATTAGGTGTCGGCATAATCCACAACTGCTGTCAATTATAATATTAATTAATAGGTATGTGCAGGAAGCCCCCCAAAAATTGTATACTTGAAGGAATTTTGAGGGGAACAGTAGGTTTTTCACAGAATTTTTCTTTTGTAGTTCCTGATTCATACCTAAAACACTAAATTTGTTCTCTTAGGAAAACCAGTACTCAGTGTTACATATATTAATTGGCTTTCTTTTCAAAAACTAAGATTGATCTCAATAGACAAAAAAGACTATTTATTGCCTAACTACTTGAATAGAATCATCATTTTGGCAGACATCCTTTGAAAATGTCTTTTGTCTAACAATTCTGTAAGTATTTCCAAGAAATTTAACCTATGGGTATATTTTTAAACCATTTTACCTAGATGGCTCATTATTAACTTATTTATCTAGCTATGGTGGACAACTGGTATCTTGGCCCAAGAGGTCCAAAACTGAATTAAATATCCCTACCATCTCCTTGTCTTTCAATCCTTGTGCTCACTATGTCCAAACCTCCTTTTTTATATGCAATATCCTGGTTAACAGCCACTACCAAGATATCCAACACAGAAAATCTGGGAGACATTATTCTTATCGACAACCTTCCTCATATCAGTCTTTAAGACCTGACTACTGTTTCTCATAAATATGTCTTAAATTTGTCCCTTTTCTATATCCATGGCTAGCACCTTAGTTCAAGCCTTCAGTATTACCTACATGGACAATTACAACAGCTTTCTAATTGTTTCTTGTTTTTGTTTTGGGTTTTTTTTTTTTTTCACTTCCATTCTTACCTACCTTCAGCCCATCTATCCTCCACACTGTTCTTGGTATAATCTTTATGTAATAGATTTGATCCCTAACTCATAAAGTAGGTTCTAGTTCCAAGGTAACCCACAGCTGGCTAGCATAATTCCGTAAATTCCAATCACCTCTTTCTTGCTGATAGAGTTTAGAATTTTTAGATGTTGAAAAAAAAATCTATTCTTCCTTAATATGACCCTGCAGTGGATTTTCATGATTTCAACTCTGCCTGCTTCCCACCCCCATTTTGAATGACTTTCTACATCCAAATATAGTCTTCTATTTTCAAGTAGTTATTCAAATTTCCAGAGATCTTTCATGCCCTTGTGGCTTTGTACATGGTATTTCTCTCTGCTTGAAATGCAGTTGCCCTGTTGTTTGCACAGAGTCCTTTAGGACCCAGCTCAAATTTTTATCCTCTTTGAAGATGTCAGCCCTTGTACACACTGCCGATACAGTTCTAAGCATATTACATATTTTGTTTACTTCACCATTTACCTTTTCTTTAAGATATTTTGGGCTGCATGCAAATAACAAAAATGCTGATTTAACTGGCTTAAATGATATGAA